GTGGTACTGGAAAATCTCATACATCAACAATTTTAAGATTTATCAATTACCCAAGAAACGCAATTGATATATCTTTTAAATTGCAGAAATACTTTTTACAATCCAAAAAACTGACAACCAACCTTATTGAACTAAAAATATGTTGGTTCTCCCTTACCATGAAAACTTGGTTGATATGCCTTCTCTTCTTAAGACTTTTAATAACAAAGTTGTGTTTAAAAATCTTGATACAGTAAAAAAAAAAAAACTTTTGATAAAGAATTCCCCCCAAAATGCTAGCGGATGTGTCTATAAGATTCCTTGTAAAATTTGCGATAAAGTTTATTACGGTTAAACTGGTAAAAGTCTTGAACTAGATTAAAACAACATAAATAAAGCATTAGAACTGGACAAGATTCTAATGCTCTGTTTACTCATGTAAGAGATTTTAACCATCCAATTGATTTTCAGAAAGTTGAGAAAGTTGTATCAAGCAAGTCCATGGTCGACAGGAATATAATTCAATCAATATGACAGTTTTCTGAACACCATACATGCTGCCCAAAGAACGTTTATCCCATATAAAGAAATTAGATCAAATAGAAATGACCAAAAATGGATGAATAATAGGCTCAAATATCTTTTAAGGCATAAGAAAGCAATTTATAGACGTATCAAAAGAGGTGAGGGTCATCTTATGAATCAGTATATTGATATTAAGAGGGACGTTAAAAAGGGGATAAGAAAAACTAAATGGGACTATGAAATTAAAGTTGCTAGGGATTCTAAAACTAACACAAAAAGTTTTTTCCAGGTGTATAGAACAAAAGTTAGAGGTCCCCTTAAAAATAGCTATGGAGTTCTTACTGACAAAGAGGATGAAATGTGCTCAATTTTAAATAATTATTTTCTCTCGGTTTTTACACAGGAAGACACTAACAATATTCCAGTAATTAATTTTTATAGTGGGTCTGAAGAAGATAAATTATGTAACATCACAGTCACTGGTGAGAAGGTTGTGAAGCAGATAGACCGACTGAAGCAAAATAAGTCACCGGGTCCTGATGAGGTTTTTTCAAGGGTTCTTAAGGAATGCAAAATGGAACTCTATGAACGATTAACTAATGTTTTTTACTTATCTCTTCAAACAGGTGTAGTGTCTGATATGTGGAAGATGGCTAATGTAATTCCAATTTTTAAAGCAGGGGACAAATCGTTACCGTCAAATTACCGACCAATAAGCCTAACCTCAATTGTAGGCAAATTACTAGAGTCAGTTATAGTTGAGATTATAAGAAGCCATCTGGATAAGCATAATCTGATTAATGATACTCAGCATGATTCACGAGAGGCCGTTCTTCTCTAACTAATTTATTAACTTTCTTCAGTAAAGCTTTTGAGGCTGTTGATCACGATAAAGAATTTTATATTATTTACTTAAACTTTAGTAAGGCTTTTGATAGAGTTCCGCACCAAAGACTGTTAAAGAAAGTGGCAGCTCATGGCATTGGGGGAAAAGTGCTCTCATGGATCGAGACATGGCTCACAGACAGGAAGCAGAGAGTGTCCATAAATGGGGGTAAATCCGAGTGGGGATCTGTAACAAGTGGCGTTCCACAGGGATCAGTCTTGGGCCCGTTGTTGTTTATAATATATATCAATGACCTTGATGAGGGAATCACTAGTGATATGAGCAAATTCGCCGATGACAAAGATAGGTAGGATAATTGATTCAAACGTAGACATCAGGGAACTTCAGGAGGATTTAGACAAACTCAATACCTGGTCAGAAAAGTGGCAGATGCAGTTCAATGTAGACAAATGTAAGGTTCTGAAGCTCGGAAGTGTCCATAACCCTAGCACTTAAAAGTTAAATAATATAGAAATTAGCCATACAGATTGCGAGAAGGACTTGCGGGTTATGATAAGCAGTAACCTTAAACCAAGACAGCAATGCCTAAGCGTGCGTAATAAGGCAAACAGATTACTGGGATTTATATCAAGAAGTGTAAGCAACAGAAGTTCAGCCGTTATATTACTGCTTTATACGTCATTAGTAAGGCGTCACCTAGATTATGCAGCTCAGTTCTGGTCTCCATATTACAGCCTGGACATAAATTCGTTAGAAAACATTCAGCTTAGAATGACTAAATCAATACATAGCATTAGAAATCTTCCTTATGAAGAAAGATTGAAGACCCTTAAATTACATTCACTTCTTAGACGAAGAATGAGGGGAGACATGATCGAAGTGTATAAGTGGAAGATGGGTATTAACAAAGGGGATATAAATAAGGTCTTAAGGATATCTCTCAAAGAGAGAACCCGCAGTATTGGATTTAAATTAGATAAGTTTAGATTTAGAAAGGACATAGGAAAGTATTGGTTTGGAAATAGGGTAGTTGATAAGTGGAACAGTCTACCTAGTTGGGTTATTGAGGCTAAAATCTTGGGTAGTTTCAAAATTAGGTTGGATAAATACATGAGTGAGAGGAGTTGGATTTGAGTGGGACTTGCATATGAGAGTGGATAGAGTTATCAGAGCTTATTTCTTGGGTGGCATTGAATATTGGTGTGATGAATGTTTTTGAAAACCGACAAGTTAAAGATTGAGACAATTATGCAACATATGGGAATCTTTATTGAGGCAACGTTTCGCCACACAGTGGCTTCATCAGTCCAATACAAAGCAGAAAGGTGTAAGGAGAGGAAGAGTTTGAGGTAATCAGTCCCTCAGCCTGGAGTCGATGTATTCAGTTCATCGATCTTGTAGAATGTACAGCATAGGTATGTGTATGTATAATGTTCGCCAAGACCGGAGTCCTGGCACGGGTCTTAATCTTGCGATGACCTGTCTCTGGCTCCCGAAGGAGAAAGGGTTCTGCAATGTTGCAACGTATGCTGCTCAAACACTGTTTTGGTCATTCATCTGGTGCGTCTCATAAGCGACAACACCGTATGTACTCCTAACTGTGGACACTAGCGAGGAGGAGCATATGTCGTTATGTATTTCTGTACCAAGATGCCATGTGTTGCAGTGTCTGACAAGATGAACATCAAAATGGTATACAATACCTGTCGGTATTGTATACCATTTTGATGTTCATATGTCGTTATCACGGGCAACAACTTGTGTGGTTCGTTGACTCCATGGTACACTAGTGTGACCGCAGTTATCTCTGGGTCCTCTTCGGGAGGGGATATCAGTGCTAGTTGCCTGCGGAGTGTCTCAGCAACTTCGCACTCCAGAAGATAGTGTGTTAGCGGGCGCTGGACAACGTGCTGACAGTATTGGCACATCTCCTTAGCCTTGTCTACCATCATCTTGGTTGTGGTGAAGCCCAAACGAAGCCGATGGATGGCGGTACACTGCGTTCTGGACCAGTTTCTATCATATGGAGGGGGGTCTCCCTGAGTCGCTGCTCGGTACCACTGTTGAGATGGGGTATCACCTAAAACCTTCCCCATAAGTTTCACTGCACTGGCAGCCACCAGTTTGGTCTGTCGTAGGCTGATGGGGACAGTAATCCCAACATGTGGATACTTCGCGGCTGCCTTGGCTGCATCATCTGTCGCCTCATTTCCCCGGATGCCAGCATGGCTGGGGATCCAGTTCAATGTCGATCTGTTACCCTGAACTTCTAAGGCTATCATTATGCTCAGGATCGATGTGATGAGGTGAACATTGTCCTGTGGTTGGGGCAGGGGCCCTATACTAGAAGTGGTTTTTATCTTGTTTTTGGCATATGAAAAGAAATATTTCGAATTTCTTTCAATATCACTGATCACTTTTAGGTCCTCTTGTCTCCCGTGAATCCTGTATGAGTCCTTTAGCTTTAGCTAATACTAATACTAATATTAATACTAATACTAATACTAATACTAATACTGATACTAATACTAATACTTATACTAATACTAATACTAATACTAATACTAATACTAATACTAATACTAATCTAAGGTCGAAAAAGACTCGAACTTACTAACCTTGGGACAAGGTAGGCAGTGTTTTACTCACCGTAACAAGCTGGTCAATAACTTGGCGCCCAACTAACGCTAGACGTTTTGTTGCAAGGCAGCCAGCCTTCAGGCAGGTGGTTTTAAGCATTTCATCTCATCCCCTGCATGTATCCACCGACGAGATTTTTACAACGTTAAAAATTCGCAGAACAGGTGAAATATTCACTCCTCACTCACAGCTCCTTCCTCACTCCTCACTCGCGGCTCCGTCCTTCCTTCCTTCCTTCCTTCCTTCCTTCCTTGTTCCTCACTCCTCACTCACGGCTCCGTCCTTCCTTCCTTCCTTGTTCCTCACTCCTCACTCGCGACTCCGTCCTTCCTTCCTTCCTTCCTTCTTCCTCACTCCTCACTCGCGGCTCCTTCCTGACTCCTCCTCACTCTTCACTCGCGGCTCCTTCCTGACTCCTCCTCACTCCTCATTAACGGTTTCTTTCTCACTCCTCTACCTCACTCCTCACTCACGGCTGCTTCCTCACTCCTCACTGTTCCTCACTCATTCTTCTTAACCCTCACGCCTACTCGCTCCTTTTTCTCACTCCTTTTTATTTTCCTTCCTCTCTCTTTCCTCCCAGATTTTCTTTCTACCTAAAAAGAGACTCCGAATTCTCTCTCTCTCTCTCTCTCTCTCTCTCTCTCTCTCTCTCTCTCTCTCTCTCTCTCTCTCTCTTTCTCTCTCTCTCTCTCTCTCTCTCTCTCTCTCTCTCTCTCTCCTCTCTCTCTCTCTCTCTCTCTCTCTCTCTCTCTCTCTCTCTCTGTTATAATAGCCTATTACTTGCTCTGTAGGAGAACCATTGATCATATAATTCCGCATTGAAAACAATATTGATGGAATTGTACTTTCAATTCTCGCGTGCGTTCCCATTCCCAGAAATATAGTGTTCCCGATTTGTTTTTCCCCAAGCAATATGTCTGGTGCGGTGTGTGTGTGTGTGTGTGTGTTAGTTACCAGTTGTCAGAGGCACTTGTCGACAGACACTTGGCCTATTGTTTATTGTGTGTGTGTGTGTTAGTTACCATTTTGTCCTAGGCACATGTCAATTAGACACTTGGCCTGTTGTATATAAGAGTGTGTGTGTGTGTGTGTGTGTGTTAGTTACCATTTTGTACTAGGCACGTCTATTAGACAATTGGCCTGTTGTATATTAGAGAGAGTGTGTGTGTGTGTGTGTGTGTGTGTGTGTGTGTGTGTGTGTGTGTGTGTGTGTGTGTGTGTGTGTGTGTGTGTGTGTGTGTGTGTGTGTATTAGTTACCATTTTGTCCTAGGCACATGTCAATTAGACACTTGGCCTGTTGTATATAAGAGTGTGTGTGTTAGTTACCATTTTGTCCTAGGCACATGTCAATTAGACACTTGGCCTGTTGTATATAAGTGTGTGTGTGTGTGTGTGTGTGTGTGTGTGTGTGTGTGTGTGTGTGTGTGTGTAGTTGAGGTTGCAGGGGTCGTGTGTGTGTGTGTGTGTGTGTGTGTGTGTGTGTGTGTGTGTGTGTGTGTGTGTGTGTGTGTGTGTGTGT